CCCTGTGGACAGCAGAGTGGAACCCTGCCTAGGTCTTTTTGCGCCAAGCTCTCCCCTTCTGGCAGGATGTCAGACCGTGTCCCACTGCTATTCATAGGGTTTTCATGGTCAATTTTTTCAGAAGTGGGTGGCCAGGTCCTTCTTCCTGGTCTGTCTTGGTTTGGAAGCTCCACTGAAACCTGTCCACCATGGGTGACCCTGCTGGTATTTGACATACCAGTGGCATAGCTTGCAGCAACACGCAGCCACCACACAGTATGACAGCTGATAGATGGATGGTGTCGCTCCCTGAGAGAGAAACAAACCCAGGCGAGTTGGTGAGGAGCCCCAAATCTTAACCACTAGACCACCAGGGCTGGCTTTTGTGCTCAAGTACAAGGAGAAAAATAAGTATGTTGCGAAGAGTGAGTTGGCATGAGGGGAGAAAAAGAGACCCACAGGTTGTTTTATGCTCTATGAACAGAGTCCACTGAACAAACAGGGAGATTTAAAGCAAGAGTCCTAGTCACTGAAGCAGCTCCAGCCTAGTAGCAGTGAGTTTTAAAATGAAAAGATGATCCGATTTTGAAGTTGGAAAGGCTGTTAGCAATAATTTAGTTTCACCCCATCCTTTGACAGATGAGGACATTAGACCCATAAAGGCATGTGATTCATGCCCAAGTTCACTCAGATCTTTAATTTGATATTCACTTACTCTTACCTTAATACAGTAGTAAGAATAGCTAGTATTTTTAAGGTTTGCTTGCTTCCCGTATGCAAGACACATTCCTAAGCTCTCTATGTGTATTAATTCCTTTAATCCTTGCAACTCTGCCTAAGAGGCAACAGTATCATTATCTTCTTTGGAAAATACTTTAAAAAAAAGGCACCGAAAAGTTTTGGTAAAACTGTCTCTTTGAAAGGAATCTGCAGATTCTGGGTCTCTTAGAGGCACTGAGGTCAGCAGTTTTCAAACTGTAATGCAATGGTTTCTAGGAACCCCACTCAGGTGTGGGTGGTGGTAGGAAAAGACAGAAAGTCTGGGATCCCAACCAGCCTGTAACCTCATGCAAACCCTCTTTCAATTGTTTTACATTGTGTGCTATGATTTGTGATTTAATCTGATCAGAGGGTCCTATGAATTTTAAAAGTGTGAAAGCCACGAAACTATATGACTTACAAAACCTGTCTCAAATCAAGGATTCAATGACTCCATTTACCTCAATCCTTTTTTCTAAATTGAGATATAATTGACGTATGGCGCCGCATAAGTTGAAAGTGTACAGCGTATTGATTTCATACATTTTATAGCTACCTCCCTCAATTGTTACCAGTGACTTCTTTCCACTCTCTCTGAAATTCTTCTTGCCATTTTGTAAGCCTTTTCTCTCATGCTCTGCGGAAGCGACTATGGGGACAGGCTTCAGCTCGCCACAGTTGTGCTTTAGAATAATTTTAGAATTGAAGGTCTGTTTTCCCGTTTTCCTCCCTTCGCCTTCCTCGTTAGAAACAGGATCAGTTCTTGAGAAACTGCCTGCTCCAGTGCCCCATGGCAGGAAGCCGGGATCGAGACCGAATCCTGAGTCATCTGTTTCAGGCGTCACGTTCTAATAAAATGTGGATACGACCTCAGAGCTGTTGCATTAACATTGGAGAATCTTTGGGGGCTGGGAGATTTGGATTTGTAATGGAAGCTGTCACTCGAACAGCAGCACCAGTACGTGAGCCTGAAGAAAGGTGTTCTTGAAAGCCTTTGTGACGTGAAGCTACAGAACACAAAGTATGGTTTGAAAAATCTGCTCTTGCGCCAGCCCCAGTGGCCTAGTGGTTAAGTTCGGTGTGTTCCACTTCGGCAGCCTGGGTTCAGTTCCTGAGTGCAGACCTACACCACTCGTCTGTCAGTGGCCATGCTCTGGTGGCGGCTCACATACAAAAAAGAGGAAGATTGGCAATGGATGCTACGGGCAAATCTTACTCAGCAAAAAAAAAAACCCACTGTTTTTCAACATGAAATTTTTCTCCTTGGAAAGTTGGTTGTCTTCCTAAGCAGACTTCTACCTTCAAGCATTCATATAGTGTTAAAAGCAAGCTCTGCACACAGGAATGGTGGAAGTGCCCACTCTGAGTATTCTCACAGCAGAGTTAGCATATCCACACAGGAGTCTTTAATAAACCACAAAATGTGTCGGGGCTTTGGAATTCTTCATACTTATCTGTACCACTTGACATGTTGGGGGTGGAGTATGATTCCACCAGAGAAAGGTTTCATTTTACTGTTGGTATTTACTGTTGAGGTTTCTTTTGCACACTTAATATTGTTTTTGAAGAATGATGCTTAGTTGTGTTCACATTTAAATGACTGGTTCCAGTCAAAGTTAATGGAGCAGATCCGACTAGGTAAGTAAGATAGGCACTTTGGGAGGATCATTTTGTAGCTTCTCCAGGCCTAGTTAATGAGCTGGAAAAGTAATTTTCTAGGTTTAATGTACAGACCGAAAACAATTTATTCCAACCCCCCCCCCCAACACTTTATGCCTTGAGACCATAGCTTATTCACCTTCTAGGGTCTGGTACATTGCCTTCTCTAACAATCCATTTTGATCTCTTGAAGATACTCTTATTCTGTTGGAAAAAGTGATAGGCTAAAGCTAGATTTTTTTATGTACATAAAATGCATAGAGGAAGAAATATGCAATCATTTGCAGGAAGTCATTCACATTCTAGTATAAATGGCTTCACAGGGACTTTCTTCCTTCTAGAAAGGGAGTTTTTATTTGTAATTATTGGAAGTGGGGCATTAAAAAATAGAGCTGATCATTATACAATGAATTCTTCCTGTTAAAACTTTGGAGAGGATGGAAGGAGAATGTATTGAAATTGTCAGCATCAAATATATTCTTGGCTTGCATTATAATTTTTCCCAGGGAAAATCATCCCCTAGTCGTATTGTTGCCATTTCCAAAGAATACCTTTTTTGACAAGTTTAAAAATTGGTGAGTCTGCCGCAATTTTCCCACCTTAAGTTTCACTGAGGGCCTTACCATCTGCCGGGTACCATGTTAAGCATATTATATGCCCTGTCTCGTTTAATCTCCACTGTAGCATTATGAGGTACGTGCTACTTAACAAGCTCTAAATGATGCTTATGGTGCCCCATGCTAAGAATTTTAACTCAATTAATCTTTACAAAAATTATCTGATATAGGTATTGTTATTTCCCTATTTTACAGATACAAAAACTGAGATATAAAGAGGTTAACTGACTTGCCCAGGATCCCACAGCTAGTAAATTGTGGAACTGGGATTGAGCTCAGGCATTCTGTCTCCAGAGTCAGCACTCTTAACTGCTGTTGGATACGATGTTGTCCTTATCAGGGAGGACGTGGAAGCACAGAGAATAATAAGTTGCCCAAATTCACACAGGTAATAAATAATGGAGGAGAGACTCCGACTCAGGCAGTCTCTAAAACTATGTAACCTACAAAACACCACCCTTATACCATCCTGTACATCTTCTCTACTCTGATCACTTATTCCTAACGCCACACATACTTGCTTCTAACTTCAATACAGATTTCACTGTGGCACTTCAGAAAAGGTAATGATAAGAATAGAAAGAAAAGAAATTAGCTGTATCGTTTATTTAGCTACTGTCTAGTTTACTTTAATTCTGAATAGATTTTGGAGAGTCGCTCATTATGAGAGGGTTGAATCTTCATTGAATTAATTACCAATGTCAAAGGCAATCTTAACTTCGTCTAGAACAGTGCTTCTTAATCTTTAATGAGCATATGTATCACCTGAAGATCTCGTTAAAATGCAGATTCTGATTCAATAGGTCCAGGATGGTCCTGAGACTTTGCATCTCTAGCAAGCTCCCAGGTAGTGTGACGCTACTGGAACACGATCCGTGCTTTGAAGAACAAGGCTAGAGCATTGAGTTTTATGCTCCAAACTGAGCATAAAGACTCATCCTAGGGCCCAGAGTCTGGATTGGAAAGAGGGCATCTTCATAGATGGAAGACCATTTAGAGCATTTGGGAGGATCAGTCCTGGGTAGAGGGGGGTGGCTCATGAGATAAGATCTGAGCTACAGGGGCTGGCCCCGTGGCCGAGTGGTTAAGTTCGCGCGCTCCGCTGCAGGCGGCCCAGTGTTTCGTTGGTTCGAATCCTGGGCGCGGACATGGCACTGCTCATCAAACCACGCTGAGGCAGCGTCCCACATGCCACAACTAGAAGGACCCACAACGAAGAATACACAACTATGTACCGGAGGGCTTTGGGGAGAAAAAGGAAAAAATAAAATCTTTAAAAAAAAAAAAAAAAGATCTGAGCTACATAGATGCTCAGGATTGCAAGAGACCTTAAAGGTCACCTGGTCCAATCATCCAACTCATGTTTAAATCCTCTTGTATCCCTGCCAGGTCATCTCAGCCCTTGAGTTAAAGAATTATCTGCCATGAATGTTGGAACTAGACATTCAATAAAACAAGAGAATTCCAGGATGGTACCTGAATCACAGAAATAATCGAAGAGAGAAAGACTGGCGGAAGAGGCTGTGATGTGTCTCGTATCTGTCCGGACAGACATTTGCCTCCATAATACGTTCTCAGAGCCTTTGGGTATTTATTCAAAAGCTTTAAAACCTTACCATTTCATAATAGAAACAAAGACGCTCCACGAGGGAACCAGCCGGGAGTGCTTATTCCCCCAAGCGTCTGCATCCCACTGTGAAATAAAGATCTCAGTGCTGACTGGCAGATGAGAAACAGTGACAGATGTTTGGCAGCTGGGCTGCTTCTTGGCTATGCTCACTGTACATACCAGAGCCCTTGAGAAAACGTATTTTCAAGGATCAGGAATCATGTGACTATGATTGGTTTGTTTCCATTTTGACTTTGCAACCTGAACCAAGAGACCCTCCTGTTGTTGGGTCTGCCGATTGCAGGGGAAGCAGCTTCTCCTTTCCAGTCACGGTCTTCTCAGGCTGTTGTTTGACAGTCCTCTGCTTTCTGTTTCAGGTGCCCGGGGAGAGCGAGAAACAGTGGAAGCCAGCTCTGGTTGTCCTGACTGAGAAGGACCTTTTAATCTATGACAGCATGCCGCGGAGGAAGGAAGCCTGGTTCAGCCCAGTTCACTCCTACCCACTTCTTGCCACCAGGTAGCCATGGCCTTGTATTTGGGTAGGATGTGTTTGCAGTTTGAAATTATTGTAATCAATTACAATTATTTTAACACATTCTGTTACTACTTTCTGTTACAACAGTGGTTGAGAGCTCCTCAAGAGTATAGCCACACGTTTTTAGCCAGAGAGATTAATTATCATTTATGGCCAAACATGGGGCAACACAGAGACAAAGAATAAACTGCTTATTTCTCATGAAGGAAAGTGACATCCATGAGACAGTCCCAGCCTGGTCTTCTTCCCCGGTCTCCATCCCCTTCCTTTGAGATGAACTATACACATGTGTTTACAATCTTGAAGTTCAGGTAGAATCCTCAAGCAAGGGTCTTCACTTGGTGGCACAAAGAATGTCATGTGGGAATGTCTCACTGTGCTTTTTAAAACTCGCTCAGCACAAAAGACCCCATAACCAGGTCTTCCTCGGTTGTGTGATGCTTCCTGTGGACGTGGGGCTACCAGGGTCTGTCTGTTTCTTAGGACCTTTGGTGCACCTTTATTGTTCATGTGAAATATTATCTTACTGTGTCATATGCTTACCCCCTTCTTTGTAAAGCTGTATCCTGAGCACAAAAGGGAATCAAACCTGAAATTTGCCTTCAAGGAGCTGACAACTCCCAGACCTGGCTTCTGTTGCCAGTTCTTTCTGTGTGTGCTTTATGATAGTGGGCACAGTTTTCATTATTTCTGTGTCTCTGTTTCTTTACCCAGAAGCTAGGCATGCTAGTGTCATATTTGTGGCCTCCCTGGCATAGTGCCTGGCAATATTGGGTCCTTAAAGGTCCGTTGAATGAGTTAGTGAACAATGTGGGACAAACTCTGGAAGGAGTTTGGTTCAACAGACAGAGCATAGTGGACCGAGGTTTGGGGCTTCTGTTCTGAGTAAAAGATAGACAGAAGCAAGATGGGTTCTCCATTCTGGAGGGACTGAGGTGCCAACCAGCTTATAGTCAAGGCTCAGGTGCAGGGAAAGGAATGAGACCTAGGGGCCACCCGGTAGCATAGTGGTTAAGTTTGCACACCCCACTTCAGTGGCCCAGGGTTTGCCGGTTTGAATCCTGGGCACAGACCTAAACACCACTCATTAAGCCATGCTGTGGCAGCATTTTACATTCAAAATTCAGGAAGATTGGTACAGATGTTAGCTCAGCAAAAATCTTACTCAAGCAAAAAGAGAAAGAGTGGCAACAGATGTTAGCTCAGGGCCAATCTTCCTCACCAAAAAAAAAGAGAGAGAATAAGACCTAGTAGCAGTGCAAGAGGCAATACAAAATTAAAATGGTAACAGTGAGTAGAATGGAAACTCACTAAAATCCCTCCTCCACTTATCAAGGCCGGCCAGGTGGCACAGTGGTTAAGTTCACACTCTCTGCTTCAGTGGCCCAGGGTTTGCCAGTTTGGATCCTGGGTGCAGATATACACACCGCTTATTAAGCCATGCTGTGGCAGGCATCCCGCATACAAAGTAAAGGAAGATGGGCACAGATGTTAGCTTTGGGCCAATCTTCCTCAGCAAAAAAAGAGGAGGATTGGTGGCAGATGTTAGCTCAGGGCTAATCTTCCTCAAAAAAGAAAATCCCTCCTCCACTTATGGTGGATTATGGAGAACAGCAATGGTGACCTGAAGATGGCAATTATTGGCCCCTGAAGTGAATAGAAGAAGCCTTCAGGCTTAAGAGGCTAGAAACCAGGCCTAGGTTACTTTCAAAAATAAATAAAATAAAATTTAATTTGGAGTCTCTACGTCTCAAACCTTTGGCAGGATAGCTATTAAAGTACTATTGATGTTTACAATAAAACTTCAATAATCAGAACCCAAACATCCTAAAATGTTCCTCTGAAGATTCAGGCTATGCCTTCGGATCCATTCAAATTCAGCCCCATCTCCATCACTTCCTGCAGAGTCCTCATCCATGGGCACTGATGTTCAGATTCTGAGACATTCCTACAACTGAAACCAAAGAAAGATTAGACCACATCACATTTCAGTTACTAAGAAGAGAAATTGGATTTATGCCTCTTGGAATGATTTCCAGGAACAAAAGTTTAAATAAGGTAGAGTTTCTAGGTAACTCTCAGGCAACGTAAAAATAAAACCCTAGAACAGTGCTTTCCCCTCACAGTTTCTGAGCATTCTGACTCATGGAGCCTGCTTTTTCATGCATGCGTATGTGCATTCATTCATTCAGGATTTTAAAAATTCATTTCCTCACTTGCACTAGCCACATTTCAGGTACTCAGCAGTTGTAGCCAGTGGCTACCATTTTGGACCGCACAGATCTAGAACACTTGCATCCTCAGAGAAAGTTCTGTTGGACAGCACCGCCCTAGAACATAAATGACTACCTTAGAATTTGTCCCGATTTGGGCAAGTGACTGGATGTGCACACTCCCACAGCAGTCCGTCAAAAGCTCATGCTGGGGAGATCTCGTTAAGACGGTGGCGTAGGCAGACTCTGAACTCATCTCCTCCCACAAACACAACCAGGTTACAACTATTTTTGGAAAAATTACCCTGGATAGAAAACTGAAAACTAGATAAAAAGAACCCCCACAGCAATGGACAGTCCTGACTAAGGCAGAAGAGGCAGAAATTCCTTCCGGAGAGAAAAAAAGCCCCCTTCAGGAGCAGCAGGGAAGAACTACTAAAACACCCAGAGAAAAACAGTAACAAAATGGCAATAAACACATTTTTATCAATAGCTACATTAAATGTCAATGGACTAAATGCTCTAATCAAAAGGCATAGGGTGGCCAATTGGATAAAAAAACAAGACCTATATATATGCTGCATCCAAGAGACACACTTCAGACCTAAAGACACTCACAAACTGAAAGTGAAAGGATGGAAAGAGATATTCCATGCAAATGACAAAGAAAAGAGAGCAAGGATAGCAATACTTACATCAGACAAAATAGACTTTAAAACAAAAACTGTAAGAAGAGACAAAGAAGGGCACTACATAATGATAAAGAGAACAATTCAGCAAGAAGATAAAACACTTGTAAATATCTATGCACCCAATATAGGAGAACCTAAATATATAAAGCAATTATTAACAGACATAAAAGGAGAAATAGACAGTAACACAATAATAGTAGGGGGCTTTAACACTCCACTTACACCAATGGATAGATCATCCAAACAGAAGATCAATAAGGAAACACTGGCCTTAAATGACATATTTGACCAGATGGACCTAGTAGATATATACAGAACATTCCATCCCAAAACCACAGAATACAGCAAATATCATTCTCAACAGAGAAAAACTGAAAGCTATCCCTCTAACAACAGGGACCAGGCAAGGATACCCACTTTCACCACTCTTATTTAACATAGTATTGGAAGTCCTAGCCAGAGCAATCAGGCAAGAAAAAGAAATAAAAGGGATCCAAATTGGAAAAGAAGAAGTGAAACTGTCACTCTGTGCAGATGACATGATTTTATATCTAGAAAACCCTAAAGAATCTACTAAAAAAACTTTTAGAAATAATAAATGAATACAGTCAAGTCACAGGATACAAAATCAACATGCAAAAATCAGTTGCATTTCTATACACTAACAATGAAGTAACAGAAAGAGAAATTAAGAATACAATCACATTTACAATTGCAAAAAAAGAATAAAATACCTAGGAATAAACTTAACCAAAGAGGTGAAAGATCTGTACACCAAAAACTATAAAACATTGTTGAAAGAAATTGAGGAAGACACAAAGAAATGGAAAGATATTTGATGCTCTTGGATTGGAATAATTAACCTAGTTAAAATGTCCATACTTCCTAAAGCAATTTACAGATTCAATGCAATCCCTATCAAAGTTCCAACAACATTTTTCACAGAAATAGAACAAAGAATCCTAAAATTTATATGGAACAAGAAAAGACCCCAAATAGCCAAAGGATTCCCTGAGAAAAAAGAACAAAGCTGGAGGTATCACACTCCCTGATTTCAAAATATACTACAAAGCTATAGTAATCAAAACAGCATGGTACTGGCACAAAAACAGACACACAGATCAATGGAACAGAATCGAGAGCCAAGAAATAAATCCACACATTTATGGACAGCTGATATTCAACAAGGGAGCCAAGAGCATGCAATGGAGAAAGGAGAGTCTCTTTAATAAATGGTATTGGGAAAACTGGACAGCCACATGTAAAAGAATGAAAGTAGACCATTATCTTACACCATGCACAAAAACAACTCAAAATGGATTAAAGACTTGAATGTAAGACCCGAAACCATGAAACTTCTAGAAGAAAACATAGGCAATACGTTCTTTGACATTGGTCTTAGCAGTATATTTTGAAGTACCAAGTCTGACCTGGCAAGGGAAACAAAAGAAAACATGAACAAATAGGACTACATCAAACTAAAAAGCTTCTGCACAGCAAGGAAACCATCAACAAAATGAAAAGACAATGTAACAATTGGGAGAATATATTTGCAAACCATGTATTAGATAAGGGGTTAATATACAAAATATACAATTCATACACCTCAACAACCCAATTAAAAAATGGGCAAAATATCTGAACAGAGATTTCTCCAAAGAAGATATACGGATGGCCAACAGGCATATGAAAAGATGCTCAACATCATTAGCTATCAGGGAAATTCAAATCAAAAATACAATGAGATACCACCTCACTCCCATCAGAATGGCTATAATTAACAAGACAGGAAACAACAAGTGTTGGAGAGGATGTGGAGAGAAGGGAACCCTCATACACTGCTGGTGGGAGTGCAAACTGGTGCAGCCACTATGGAAAGCAGTATGGAGTATCCTCAGAAAATTAAGACTAGATCTACCATGTGATCCAGCTATCCCACTGCTGGGTATTTATCCAAAGAGCTTGAAAATACAAATGCACAAAGATACATGCACCCCTATGTTCATTGCAGCATCATTCACAATAGCCAAGACTTGGAAGCAACCTAGGTGCCCATTAAGGGACAAATGGGTAAAGA